AAAGAATAAACCAGTTTTATTTAAGAAAGGACTTGTGTCGCTAAAGTTTCGTCGGATCGAATTTACGGAAAATTAACTAACGAACGGAGACGTAACAATATTTTATTCTACTTTCCTTATTTATAGTTTTTCAAGTAATCCATCATGTTATTAAAAGCATTAATAACACTGGCTTCGTAAGATACAGTATTAACTTTATTTACGTTATTTTTAGATTTGTGTACGACCACTTGCGGATGGAATCGTACTCGTTTCTTTTGCTTAGTATGAGTCACTTCCGGTTGGGTTGATATATCTGTTTGTTACTCTAAATAAATTTTGTTGTCATTGGGCACATTTAAAATTCGATTAATGGGCCCTATCTGTCTACTTTGTAATTGAAAATAACATAATAGCCTCAACTGGAGCCTAGTATGGCTTTCTCAAATACTAAACCTAATTGTGTATTGTTACGCCTCCAGTCAATAGTCAACTTCCCGTATAATTTCTTTCCGAAGAAACTTTAGCGATACAAGTCCTCTCTTAAACAAATCTGGTTTATTCTTTCTGAATACAACTTTGCAATGCACTTAATTTCCACAGTCACGCTATAACAAACGCTATAATTCACAACGAACGACTCACGTGCTTGACTCAACTGTCCGTCTCTATCTCTTTCTGCAGTTCAATTACATATACAAGAATACCGCATATCTAGTAAACACTCGAAGCTTCAGGAAGGGACATGAACGTTCTAGAAGCGGATGACGTGTTACTAGGGTCACGTGACCTCCGCTGTCGTAACAGTATTTTCATCCTCTTGTCTTCAGGATGCAGCACAAACAAGTAAGTGGCGTTTTCTAACTATTTCTCAGATAATCTTGTAAGCTCTGATAATGTGACCAATTCGTTTCTTTTCTTAAGAGAAAATATATCAACAGATCACAAGAGACGACTCTTCCATCCCCGGAATCCTCTGAATAAGTCAGTATTTTTTAGATAAAAAGAACAAGCTTTACAGAATACTTCAAATCCGACATATAACCAGTGATTTTTGCAAAGAAATCATTACCTGTTTGGACTAAATTCTAATAAGTAGTTCTATATATATAGAACACTACTGTGCTGTTTTAATGGCTTATTTACAATTATGTTATCTTTTTTCCAGTCACGCTGTTAAGTTCACATTTATTTTGACCTTGTCACGTACTACCCACATTACGTTAATATATATATATATATATATTACCTTGAACTTACTATTATTAAAGGTCAGTTGTACTATTTGGTCAACTTACTAATCAATCCATATTATATTCTACTTACCCCAATACAACTAGAAATATCCAAAAGTTTATTGTAATCAACAAACGTTATTAATTATGTCCCTATCAATGGCTGAACGCAGCCCAATGATTATCATTTCGGACTATAAGTATGCTAGTACTACTTTCGCTTCCCGTTACCGCAAGAAATTTATATTGTTACGACAGCGGAAGTCGCGCGACGCTGGGAGCATGCGCTGGAGTTCTAGAAAGATCGAGGAACCTGTTGAACGTCCTAGCGTTTGCTAGAAGAGCACTCTTATTGCATATAAGCGCGGCAAATAAAGCGAGAGAATTAATCGGAACTGGAGTAGCAGATATAGAGATTGAAGATAACAGACACAGTTAATCGAGTCAAGTGAGCGGTAATGGCCATAAGTAAAGTGCATGAATCATTGTGAATTATAGCGTGTGTTTAAGTTAAAGTGACCGTGGAAATTAAGTGTATTGCAAAGTTGAATTGAGAAAGAATAAACTAATTTTATTTAAGAAAGGACTTGTATTGCTGAAATTTCTCAGAAAGAATTTCTACTGAAAATTAATAAACGAACACAGACGTAACAATATTAATAAAATCGCTACCCGCACTTAGGAAACATGAGATTGATGTATGGGTCGTCAAATCTCACTAATTGTTCACTTGTAATTCAAGTGTTGGCGGTGGGTGCTGTTGACTAGATGCCTTCTCAATAGCCTATTAGCTTAAAATTTTAAATTTCAAGCGCAGATAGCCTTTGAGTAGCTTTGTGCGAATATCCGAAACATATAAAGTCGTATCAACATCATGATATAAATAAAAATCAAATGTCAAATGTATATTGTTTTTACTAGTACATCAATTAAGTAAAAAAGGAAGGTGTCGTCAGAAGCGCTTTGGCCAGGAGAATTGAAAGAAACTGTACGCTGTAATGGCATTGGGCGTCTGTTTGTAGATAAGGTAGGTGAGAATGATAATACAGGGCTTGGAACCTGAGTTTTTTGGGGTTTTTTTTTTTATGCTAGTCTGAGTCTTTTCGTCAAAGTTTAAGTTCATCTTATAAAGTTATTTGTAAGTTGTAGTTATATAGTAGCGTAAAAAATAGTAAAAGGCGTAAAGTATGAAATTTGATAATAATATGAATAACTTTCTTAAAGATTCTAAAAAGTAAAATGCTATATTAATTATTTAGAAATTCTTGAAATTAAATTTGTTAACATACAAATAATATTATTTATAAATTGTAGAGATTTACTCTAAAGCGTAATATAAAAATTAAAATAGTCTGGCTCTGTTAAGCTTAGTTTAGGGGCTTATATCATAACGCTAAAAATATAATTCGTGATTTGATACCTGGGTTGGACTCGGCACAGGTAGCTCATCCATGTATTTTTGTAGATACACTTACTGACTTAGTAAATTCAGAATTATAATCAACATTCCTTCTCGAATACTGGAAACAATATAATGGACCATCCTCGTACACTTTCAGTCAAGTATTAATTAGTTTCTAATATGTATTTTTTTAAATAATTGAGAGTTGAAGTTCAATTATAATTTAATATTATTCAGCTTTTAAGGGTGACAGATCATTGTCCATGAGGAAACTTATCGTTATACCAAGAAAATTATTAAAAGTGACATGTTTAAGCTAATATTAAACCATATCTTTTCTCAATATAGCCAATATGAATTAAAAAAAAAGTTTATACAATACTAACTTGTTAACATTTTCCAGGATGTTATTTACCTGATGAAAGTAAAGCAATCAATTTTAAATTTATTGTTAAGTTCTAATAAAGAAATGATTGAGAGAGTGAAAATTGGGGAACATCTGGGAGCAAGTGATCATTACTTTATTAAGTTTGATGTTTTGCTACAAATGGAGATCAGGAATAATGATATTTTGATTACAAATTTTAAAAAAGCAAATTTTGAAGGGATGCAACAAGAATTATGTGTCGTGAACTGAGCAGCTGAGTTACTTGGAGACTGATCAAATCTGGAAAATTTTTAAATATTCAAGATAAACATATTCCTTATAAAAAGAAAAAGATGGCTGCAAGTAACAAATCAGGATAGTTCACAAAGGGTATAAGAGATAAAATTAAAGAAAAGCATCACAAATTTAAGAGGTGTAAATTGACTAGTATAAGAGTAGATTTACAAGATTATAGAAGTTTAAGAAAGGTTGTCAAATAGGAAATTTGGACATCATAAAGTATGTATGAAAAAAGGTTGGCTGAAAATGTAAAAATTTAACAGTAAGGATTTCATAAAATACATAAAGGGTAAACAAAATGTTAGGATGAGTGTAGGACTGTTGAGGGTTGATAAAGGAAGGCTCATATCTGATGATAATGAGATTGCTGGGTTATTAAATTCTGCTTTTTCTTCAGTTTTTCATCATTTTGAACAGTTGATAGATGGAAGCAAGATCAAACAAGATTATAACATTAATTCTGATCTTATTAAGAAAAAATTGAGAAGTTTAAGGAATGATAACTTACATGGGCCAGATAATATTTACCCAAAGATTTTGAATGAGGTTAAGAATTGGATATGAGGATAAATTTTCTTAGATAGTCAGCTTGCTTTCAATAGGGAAAAATCTTGCCTTTCTAATTCTAGTCTTTTAAACTTCTTTGAAGAAATTGCTGCTTATGTAGATGAGGGTAAGGGTGTAGGTTTGGTGTATCTGGATTTTCAGAAAGTATTTGATAAGTTACTATGTAAAAGGCTTGTAAAAAATATATCTCTATAAGCGTGGGGGATAAGGTAGTTAATTGGATAGAAGACTGGCTAGATGGAAGAAAGCAGAGGGTTGTTGTAAATAGATTTCATTCAAACTGGATAAATGGCACAAGTGGAGTACATCAGGGCTCAATCTTAAGATGTCTGCTGTTTTTGATTTACATCACTGGCATAGAAGAATGAATGGTCAATACATTACTTAAACTTACTGATGATATGAAGTTCTTGGGTGTTGCTGGCTCTGAAGAGGATGCTGTTGCTGCTGCTTTACAAAAGGATTTAGATCATTTAGTGAGTAGGGGGAATAAATTTGGATGGGAATAACCTTAACTGTTATGAGATAAAGAGAACTTGGTGTAGTGATTGATCAGTCTGTTAAGCCATCCAAGCAGTGGTAGAGCAAATAGGACTTTAGGTTGTATCTACAGAAATTTTGAATACAAGTCTAAAGAGGTTATAATGTCATTGTACAGGTCACTGGTCAGGCCAGATTTGGGGTATTGTGTTCACTCTTAGGCTTCTTACCTTAGGAAAAACATTGAATTATTGGCAAGCATTCAAACGATGGCTACTAGAATGATGCCTGGGACTGTCTTATGAGGAAAGGCTAAGATCTCTGAAATAGTTTTGTCTTGAAAAAAGAAGAGTTAAAGGGGATCTGATTGAGGTGTTTATGATTGTTAAGGGAAATGATAGTGTTGATGCATCATCTTTTTTCATATTTAACAGTGAGAATGGTGGGACTAGAGAACACAAATATAAATTTTGGTAGGGTAATAATCATCTTAATCTAAGACAGTTTTATTTTTCTAACAGGATGATTGGCCTTTGCATGTTGTGGAAACAGTAAATTTAAGTGTGTTTAATAGAAAGCTTGATAACTATATGAATGATAAAAGCTTGCTTTGAGGGTTTTTTAATTTTTTGTTTATATAATAGTTTTAGTTTAGTTTAGAGAATGGGATATCCTAGATGGACCAATAGGTCTCTTGTTGTCCCTAAACATTATGTTAGGTTATAATTTACTTATTTTGGATATAACCCAAGGCTAGAATTTGGGGTTTTATCTCTGCAATGGACACATAGTTGAGAGCCATTTATGTAACTTTATACCAAGACAATGAAGAAGATTTAGTTGACTGGGAATTTTAGAAAGCTTTGGATAAAAATTTTGTGAAAATATTGTATTAGTCAGAGTAGAGGATAGGTTAGTTACATGGATTGAGTATTAGCTAGGTTGGAGAAAACAAGAAGTTGCTATTGAATTTAAGTAAAACTGGACTAATATTACAAGTGGTGTGCCTCAGGAATCTGTGGCTTTGCTCATTTACATCAATGACAATGATAGAGGCATAGTTAAGAAATTGGTTAAGTTTGCTGATATAAAGATCTTAAGCCTGGATGGCTATAATGAGGATGATCAATGCGATTTTGCAGAGAGACTTATTTGATTTGTTGGACAAACATGTGACACATGTGGGTTATCATAATAAAAATTATATGGGGATCCTCCTAATTATGTGGATGATGAAATGGACCTTGGTGTATTGGTTGATGTATATCTTAAGTCTTCGAGAAGGTGGTCTGTTGCAAGTAGTAAAGCTAACAGAATTGCGGGTTATATATATAGGAGTATTGACTTCATATTCTGAAAAGGCCATGGTTTCATAGTGTAAGTCCAAATTACATAGGTCTCACTGTGTGTAGTTTTGTTCCCCTTATCTTAGGAAGGAAATTGGGCTGTTAGAGAGTTCAAAGGAAGGCTACTGGGATGATTCCTAGGATTGATAGGTTGAGATCTGTTAACTTGTTCTTTCTTGAAAAAAAAAAAGAAGTGTCAATGTGGTCCATTTGAAGTATTCAGAATTATTAAAGGGACTGATAGGAGGGACACATTAGGTGTTTTTCATGTGGAATTCTGTGGCAGTTCAGTCAATTTTACTTCTCCAATAATGTGGTAAATCTATGGTTCAAATTGATACATAGAGTTGTAGATACTGCATTGTTTCAGGAGTATACAAGAAAATGGCTGATGAATATTTAAGAAATTGGGGTTAGATTTAATGATACTGTTTGTCAAGGAAAGGTTGGTAGTCATGGTAAAGACATTCTACCCTTGATATCCCATAATTGATAACATTTATAAATACTAGTTTTTTCTCATGTCATAAAAAATGGTATAGGACTTCTTCAAGAAGTATAGTTGTTGGATATAAAAGACTGTTTAGTTTAAGAGTTATTATTTAGTGATTTAATATTTAATGATTATTTAGTTTTCATAACAAGAGTGTTAAAAGTTAATTATTTTAAAAGTAATAGTTATGACAAGTTTTGTTACATAGCTCGGTACGAGTCGTACATTGTGTATGCAGTTTGATTGTTGTACTAGGCCTTTGTAATAATGTTGATGTCATCTTACTCGAAACTTCTGTGTTTTTCTCATTGTGTGTAATATTGTTGTCACTAGAGGGCTAAATATTTCTAGATTTTTCTGTTGCATGTTATAAATACATGCAGATACAGAAAGGAAGTTAAGAAAACAAGTTAGTGAGAGATAATTAGACAGATCTAGACTGAGTGATTAGCAGAGTAGCCATGATTGGCAGTTTTTAAAGAAGTTAAGTCAGAAAATGTTAAGTTAGTGAAAGTGAAGCTAGACTGTGTGATTGTTAGTTTAGCCATAACAGGCAATATTTAAAGTGAGTTTCATAGTGGTGTTGTAAGAATAGAGATAAAGGAGAATAACACAAATAGGAGACAATTATTTAAAGTTCTGGATACAACTGTGGTAACCCACAAAGTAACGTAAGTGAATCTATCACAAATTGTGCTGTAAGAAACAACAGGGAAAAATAATTTGCCTTCCCAATTGAGTTATAAAGTAACTGAACTAGCCCATGTGGACTTTTGGCAAGAAAAGAGAATTATTTAAAGCTGTAGATACAACTTCGATAACCAGTAGTAAAACACATTTTTGTAAGTATGTTTGACTTGTTTTGAATATATTATTTTAAAACAAGTGGATACAGCAAGTTAAGTTAAAGTAAGTTTGAGAAATTAAAAATTAAGCTAGACTGCGTGAGTGTCAATTCAACCATAATGAGTGATTTCTAAAATGAAATTTTCACAGTTTGCATTGTATCTACAGAGATAGAGAAGGATAATTCGTCTTGCTAAAGATTGTTCTAAAGTAATTGATCAGCCTGTGTATACTGATGAAAAAGAGACAGTTAGCTCTAGATACAACTGTGATAACCAAGAGTGAAATAAATTTTTGTAAATATGTTTGACTTGTTTTGAATATATTATTTTAAAACAAATGGATTGTGTGCTGTCTGTTTCTTGTTGAAATTTATTGCCAACAAGTCACAGACGCCTACTTTAAAGTATCTAGCCCATATTCAAAACCTGACAGTAGTTTTAGTTTTGTACTACCACCATAATCGTATGAAGTTTGAAACAGCTATATGTCACATACAACACTATTTTAGATTGAGAAAATTTACATTTATATTAGAAAGTCATTGGGTGTTGAACAAGTTGCAACTGTCTTGTTGGTAATTGCACTGTTGTGATCGTGACATGTCACCCATTCAATTACCAACATTTTTTGGTTAACTTTTAATATTTCAGAATTAAACACATTTACTGCTCTTTTAGTCTTTCTGTAGTTTTCTTAGTTTGTTTTAAAGTTAATTTAAAATGCACTGTCATGAAAATATTGCAAGTTTTCACTCTTTGATGCATTTCAAAGCATAGAGAGTATGCTTTTGATGATGAACTTTAGTCTTAAGTTTATTTCTCTTCATGCTTCTTTCTTTGCAAAAAAAAAATTCTCCACTTAGCAGCTTTTTTTCAGTAACCTCATTGTTGCAAATGTATATTATTCATTAATCCACCCACCTACCAACTCCAATAAAACCTTATGGGCAACATTGTTAATTTACCACCTTTATGTTCCAAAATCAAAGCTATATGTAAAGTATCTATGTTAAAATCCTGCTAAAAAGAATCATGGTTAAATGCATAAAGTAAATAACACATTTCTTATTATTCAAAAGAATTATTTATTCCAAATCATTAATTCAACCAACAAATACTTTGTCAATTTTAAAATCTTGCAAGATTTATTAAACAATAAAATAAAACTATTTTAGACTGGAAGAAAAGATCTGTATTATAAAGTAATGTGTACTGAACCAAGTTGCAGTCTCTGTGTGTGTTTTGTGGGTGAAAAGTTTTGGAATCCTGTTGTTTTGGTATCTCATAGATGTACATTGTGTAATATGGATAGCTTGTGTAATGTGTACTCTTGATTGACATAAAAGCAGTGCAATATTTTGGTGTCAGCCAAAGTAATTGAAGACTGCACATTTTTGTTTATGCTAACAGAAGTCCATAGATTTTGAGGGGGAACTAATGCTCCATTGAGCTTCTTATTTTGAGCTCAGTTGAGTGATTCATCATGTTTCTAAAAGTAATGGATATACTCATTTAAATTTGTTAGAATTTCAGATCTTACGTACTCATGATCATATCCAAATCCCTATCAAAAGTTGCTAAATAAATATTTTGGTACCACTTTCTAAAGTCATGTGTGACTTCATACTTAAGCATTACTTCAAAAGAAATATTTAAACATGATAACAACCACAAGATTGTTGCTAGTCACATCACTCTCATTGTGATATGTCATCCATTCAATTACCTACATTTTTTAGGTAGCATAAAGCAGTTGGCCTGACTTAGCCAGTGCAAACAAAAATGTTTGGTATTTATATAATTGTTAAAAGTATTATGCATATTTTAATGGAATTTTGAACATAAAAACATTTCAAGTATAGAAATGCACAAATTCATCTATTATATTTTTATCCTAGGCAGGACTTTAAAATTTTCCACTCAGTGATTAGTGTAAATTTATTTTATCTGTGCAACATTACCAGTAATGATTCAAAGTAATTATTGAGAAATTGTAATCTTGTAATAGGTATAACCTGTGATGTTACATTATACTCTTCATTACTCTCCTGTGATTTTCAAATCGAAAGCACTGTATCAGATATTTTAATCTAAGGACACCTTTTCATTGATTGCAATTTTTTTCAAATATTCATTGTATACTTCTACTACTTTTTTGCAGTACATATGTAACTTATGAACAGATGTTTTTATTGTTTTTTAGTTGATTCCCTCTTTCCTTTGTTCTTATTTTTGATCATTCTAAAGGTCTTTGTCCTGTGTGAAACTGTTGTGTTTGAATAATGGTTGTAAACCTGAGAATCTAGCAAGTTTACAAACACATGAATATCAGTCAGTAGTTAACGTTTTGGAAATCCCTTCACTGTGGCATCAATAGTAGATTGTAAAAGTGTTCAGTCAGTGGATATAAATTTTTGTTCAAATGTAATGGATGTCTCGCAGATGGAAGGACTGGTCATACATTACAGTTTTATATATAAATTAATGATTCTTCTTGTGCTCTGGAAATTATTTAGGTATTTTCAAAGCTGAATTTTAAATATGGAACTAAAATTATATGATCAGTAACATTATGTGATTAGCTGTAATAAAGACAGAGTTGTTTCATAAGTTATTATGGGTTTATAGCCTACATATTTCAACTTCTAAGTATGAGTTAATCCTTTGTGGGTCTTTTAAAATCTTTACTTATGCATTTTCTTACATGTTAATATAAGTTGAATGTTTTGTTTAATATTTCAGTGTTGTATTGAACCAGTTATTTGAAGAAAATGTCTGAATTTGTTTTTCCAAATGATCAACCTGTTGTACTGTTAGACAGTGGGAAAGCTTTTAAAGCATTAACTGATGAAGAAAAGCTTTATGCTCACTATCTGTCTCGTGCAGCTTGGTATGGAGGTTTGATTGTTTTGATACAGGTATGATTTTTACTGTTTATATATAGTTATGTAGATAATTATGGAAGCAAAAGTGATATACATAGGAGATTCACAAATAATGAGTAATTGTAAGTAGATGTTAAATGTACATGTATTAATAGTACAAAATATTACAGTATTGCAGAAAATAAAAAAAAGTGAATAATTGTATGATTTACTAATTATTTTGCATGCAAGTCTTGCTTTACACAAAACATTTCACCTTTTTTTTCATATTGTCATACATTCTTTCAAAGATTATGGGATATTCCAAATGTTTTGTATTACTCACCACAGTTCACCCAATTGTTTGGTTGCCTTATGAATTTTTAATATAAGCAATTAAAGCTTTAAGAACATTTATATTTGGACTTTCTGGAAGCCATAATGTGATTGTGAGTGTTCCATCAGCTTCTACATTAGATATTACCTGTGTGCTTGTAATCATTGTCTTGAGAAAGATGAATCCTGCCTGAAGAGATGTGTTCCTGAGGGAATGACATTATAGATCAGGATCTGAATGTATCAATAGTAAGGGTATCATCAGTTTTATACAATCAACCAACAGTCTTGATTGAGATGTGACCCACCACGGCACTTCACTATAGATGTTGTACATTGACTATGATACCATTCTCCTCTCTGCCATTAAACAAACTGTCAGTGATTGATGCTAAACAATTTGAACTTAAGTTCATCTGTAAATAACATGCATCTCCAACATATCTCATCCTGTTTTTTAGGGTTCAGTGCCCATTACAACCTTTGAGTTTGGTTATTTTTCCTAAGCAGTTCATCCACTGAAACCACTTCATGCTAAAATGTATTTTACTGTTCTTGAGGTAATGTTCACATCTGTACTGAACTGTCATCTATCTTGTAAACAGGGGTGAGATTTTGACTGTACTCACTGGACTGAGTAGTGGAACTTATTTTATAACAGATCCACCTTACCCATCTCAGTACCTCTACTTTTTTTTTGAGAATTTCACCCCTGCTTGTAAAAAAACATATTTTAAGATACTTAACATCACTACTAGAGAATTTCAGTTTTCTACCTCGACCACATCTATTATTAACTTTGCCTGGTTCACATACCCTCTTCAGAGTCTTCCATACAATTCTTGCTGCAATTTTTCACATGGACTATCCTTGACCAGCCAAGCCTTTGATTTCTACACGCTTCTCATATGGCATTGTAGTTCTAGTATCTATCACTAGGCATGTGACAAAATTGTGTTATTTTTGATTAACCACAAATATGTCAGTTAGCTACAACAGTTTACATATATTTATAATAATGGATATATTTATCCCTATCATAACATGACTTTAATGGCTATGTTTGTCACTAATGCTACACATGTGGAGTTAGTGAAATGTTTAGAGGAGAGATGTTGACAAACATAGCAAATATTTTGATAATTCCTGATCTTGTTATCAGCTGAATTCTACACTTGAAACATAAAATTCAGAATATATTTCAAAATGTAGAACTAAATTAGGGATCTGCTAATGTAACAGTCAATAGGCCTAGTTTATGGTTATAAATGCCGTAAACCAATCATCAATAATTATTTAGTAATGGAATAACCTAAGCAACTATAGCTGTCATTACAGGAGTGCCTGGTTGTGGTTGAGATTTGAAAATGCTCTCCTGAAATACATAATTGTTCATGTGTAGCATTAATGGCATCAATATAATAATTGAAATCATGTTACGACTAGCGTAAATATAGCCACTGCTTACATTTAAATACAGACAGGTACAAATGGACCCAATTGCAATGCCCTCGTCCACCCCACTCCTAGGGTGAGGGTAATGAGACAACCAGCAGGAGAAAAAAAAGAGGACAACTGTAATGTAGAATAAACTTAGCAGCAATTTATTGTACTTCTGTAGTATTCCATTCGGACTAGCAGGCTTTTCTACTCCTCAGATTGTGAAGCTGATCTCAAATAGTGAAGTGGCTAGTGCCAATACAGCACAGTATGACTACCTGTATTTATATATATGCTTTATACTGACATGATATTTTGTGATTGGTTGCATGACAACCAATCACAATGTAAACTTTTAGCATTTGATTGTGCTTTGATATAATCCTTTTTTACACAGTGAAAGGGTGATGTGTAACTCTCTGATTCTTTGGACAATAACCAATACTGGTGTAAACCATCAACATATGATTGTATTCTGACAGAAATTTCTTTTCATCAAATAAGGGGGTGGCATTACTGTAACACTTGCTTTTTATAACCTTTTTCCTTAATGTTTTTATACTTATTTCCAATACCTTATTTAATATGAGCAGTTCTCAATAGCTATGGAGTTTGCCTTTTTAATACAAATAAAAAAATTTTTATTGTTATTTTAATGCTGTAAAAAGTTGAAAGTTTCTGGCTAATCATAATCTTTTATGATTTTAAACTGATTTATTGGCTATAATTTTTTTTTACTAATGAAAGTATGATTGTTTAATTAGTGCATAATTGTATTGTTAGCCTTTTAATAATGAGAGTAAGATTGTTTATTTTTATTAAATGCTTAACTATTGAGAGTAAGATTTATTATTAAAGGTTTATTTCTATTGTTAACCTGTTAATAATGAAATTAAGGTTTTTTTATTTAGTGCTTAATTCTGTTGTTAGCTTTTTAATATTTGGGAATAATGTTTTTTAATAAGTGCTTAACTCTATTGGAAACCTTTTAATAATGAAAGTAAAATATTTTATTATCTGGTAAATTCTGTTTTTATTTGAACAACGGTGAGATGTTATGAATATACAACTATTTGACAGGATATTTATTAAGCTTACATCATTCTTATGTTTGACCACTATATGTCATTTTCATAAGCAGTACATACATATATAACAATAAAAAGTCGTTTACTTAACAAACTATGGAGTTTTTACATTTTTTAGAGAATATTGTGAGTGACACATTTTAATCCATTATATGATTTGAATAACTATGATATAAAACAATATCATTATTTCTAATAATTGTGTCAGTATTGATCCAAGTTTGTCACATGAGCTTTCTAATTGAACACTAGAAGACAGCTTTCACTTATGCAGTAGCTTTTGAACTGGTTAAAAGAATTAAGATATTTTTATGTACTTAGATTATAGAACTTTATTTGCTGGTTTTTGGGGAGAAATAGGACATGTAACCATGACAATTTCCCAAAATTATGTTTCTGTTGTTTAGACCTCAGTAGAGAGTCCACTGATTTACACACTATTGCACAGAACATATCAGCAACAGTCTCTAAAAGAACTTCGACAAGTAGCTATAGAAGAATGTGGTCTTACTGATGATGATTTTCAGGTAGTATTCAATTTCTCTGTATTGTTACTTTTTCTTATGAGTGATTATGTTACAAGATGTAGTTTTTCTGATCATAATTTTAATTCATACAACATGTAATTTTGGATAAAAACACAACAATACATGTTATTATTTATCAGAATATGAAAATTAATCTTAAAGATAAAAGTTATTTGTAATCATAAAACTCAAAACAAATATAATAGTATTGATAAGATGATGGACTATCAGGTACATGTAATTCAAAGATCGTGTATTTTCACAAATACAGCATTAAAGTTTGAAAACTTGTTGTTTTCAGACAAGGTACTCAAAAATTATTTATAGTTTGTGTTGAATTAATTCTGTAAACATAAACAAAAAACCTCAATTAATATGCATCTTAACATACCTATAGTTTCTACTGGGGTTAAAAACAATGGATACCAATGATAAAAAGCTTACCAAAGTCGTCAAGGTTAATCACGTAAAAACGAATTTTATTTTTGCTTTAACTACATCTTACAAAATCTTAGAAACATCAAGTTCTTCAGCGAATTATACTTTTATGTAAACCATTCCAGAAATTATTTGCTTTTACCTTTAGTGAGCTGATTATGGCCTGATGATTAGTGTTTAAACATAGGCCTTTAATGAGCTGATTATGGCCCAATGATTAGTGTTTAAACATGGGCCTTTAGTGAGCTGATTATGGCCTGATGATTAGTGTTTAAACATAGGCCTTTAGTGAGCTGATTATGGCCTGATGATTAGTGTTTAAACATAGGTTGAATGATTTCAGCTGTGGGTACATTAAAAAAGGGTAATCACTCCTGTTATTTGGTTGAAAGAGCTGGATATAACCTATGTGGTGGCAGCTAATGTTGGCTGAATGCCCTACTTCTGGTTAGTGGCTCAAAGTTAAATTACAGCTATACATGAATCTCAGTGTATCTCTTAATCTTTTTGTTTAGCCTGTTTGTGCAAAAAGATTGAAAGTTCCAGTTTCACTCTAGTTCTGTGATATAGTGCTGTTTTCAAAAAGTAATTGGACTGACATTTATAGTCCATTACTAATAACTAATGTCATTAAGTTCAACTAAAGTTTTGGCTTTCGTGAACTAGTTTGTCAAATGTTTTTTATTGTTGTTTAACAATACTGCAATCTCAGAAAATTGGCAATTAACAAAATAAGGGATTTTGTCAGCTGAGGAATATTGTGTTTTAAATTATTGAGATAGAAAAAAAAAGCTAGAATGAGTTTTCTTAGTTTTATGTAATGAAAATACATTAGGGTTGTACTGTTGTTTAAGGTAATGTATTTGGATTGATATCTTTATTGACTAAAAAACGAAAATGCAAGAATTTTGGATTCATGTTAAATTCATTATTATTTAGTAATAGTTAAACATCAAGTAAGACGAAGTTATAAATATATTCATAAATATATTTTATTTATTCTCTCCATTAAGATCTGTTTCAAATGTTTTAAAATTTATTATATGATTAACTGCCAAAATGTTCCATAATACATTGTACAAAATTGGAAGATTGAAAAAACATCAGTGTTAAAGTTAGCTGAAAAACTAAACAGCTTTTAATACACTTACAGTAACATAAGATCAATGTGGGTATAAAAACAAGTGATGATTCTTGACCTTGTTGGTTTGATGTGAACTATTATGACTTGAAATTATTGTTCACATATAGAAATAAATACCACCCCTGTCAAATTTCTTTATGTAAACCACCATTAAGTGATGATTCTTGACCTTGTTGATTTGATGTGAACTGTTGTAACATGCACTTGTGGTTCAGAGCTTGTGTTTAATTACTTAATATCACCTAAATATGTTTTGTATTGTTAACGAAGAACATTTTTATGTGAACACTAATTACTTCCGTAAACTAATATTCAGTTACTGTTTTCTTATTTAATACAGAATTGCAGAAATACTGAAGAAGACTGATGTAATTGGTTTTGTAGCTAGTATGCTGTTTCATATTTCCAATGACTATCCTTTATTAACAACATGTTGTTTTCCTTCCACATAATATTACAATTTCCCTAAAATTTAATATCAGTGCATTTTCTTTTGAACTTGGATGTTATTCTGCTGAACTCTTGAATACTATAAGACAAAAACACAAATTATGTTGTAAAGAAAGGTAATTCATATTAATTAGAATGCTTCAGAGTTTCTTACTCTTCTACCATTATTTTGTTTAAATAATAGCTGGTTGTATGAATTCTTTCTTAAAGAAAAAACTTCATTATTTTGTGTTGTAATTATACTGAATATGCACTAACATTAAAACTTATTTTTTGGTTGTAGGCTCTTCTAGTATATTCCTCAGGTATCTTCACCAACATGGGAAATTACAGGGGGTTTGGAGATTCTAAGTTTATCCCTAATCTTCCAAAAGTATGTGTGAATAATAACTATAATTTTCTTCTTTTACCTAAAATATTATCTTACATTTTTTCAGTATTCCAATAGAAGTTTGTTTTTTGATTTCATAAGTGAAGTCTAGTAAATATTTGGTCTCAGTAGTTACACATAAATAAGATTGATAAGTTCAAAGTTTATCAACTACTTTGTGCTTCAGTACCTGTGTTTAGATTGGCAACAATTGTTCATTTTATCATTCAAGTGGTATTTGTTTTGAAGAAAGCTTACATATACTTCCTTTTAATAATGTTGCTGTGTGCATGCAATATGGAACTGTACTACTTTTTTTTATTAAACTTATTGTACTTTGTAGAAATATTTTTCACTAACCTTTCTTATTTTGTTTTTTTATTCTTATGAAATTTTATAACAAAAACATTTTTGAAGTGAATTGCAATAATATTATAATGTGCTGTAACCTCAAGTTAAAGCTAAACTTTAGGTTTTATCATATATGAATATATAGCTTCACATTTCATAATCTTGTATTCATTCTGGCTATATCTCAGGAAAAGCTTGAGAAGCTTATCAAATCAAGCTCTGCCTATAAATCTGAGCCAGATGTCATCAATTTTCTGTGGGAAAAATCATCCGAAAAGATTTATTCTTTAAAAGATCAAGAGAAGCACTTAGGTTTTGGAGATAAGGTTGGTTGATAAAAAAATATGAATACACAGATATTTTTAAACTAAAAACGTGTATTTTACTTCATAAAATGTGTAATAAATATAGAAGACTCAGTAACTAAACTACTATTAATATTATGGAAGGTAGTCTGTCATTCATCAGTATTTTAACATGTTAACTGCTGTGATGCTTGGTATAATCTATGACAAGTGCAGATAAGAATGTTGGTGCAATATTGTTGTGTTTTCAATTTAAATTATGGCTATAATAACACATTTAAAACATTTAATCTTTACTTATTTTTATTTACGGTGCACACTTGAATGAATGCTAAACATGCACATCTATGCCCTCAATGGTGAATGTGTTAATAAAGGATATATATATCTACCTTTTAAAAGGTAGTCTGTCATTCATCAGTATGCTCATGAAAGGTACTTTATTATTCATCAGTATCTTCATGTTGAATAAGTATATCTACCCTTTGAAAGGTACTTTGTCAGACATCAGTATTTTCATGTTGAATAAATATATCTACCCTTTGAAAGGTACTTTGTCAGACATCAGTATCTTCATGTTGAATAAATATATCTACCCTTTGAAAGGTACTTTGTCAGACATCAGTATTTTCATGTTGAATAAATATATCTACCCTTTGAAAGGTACTTTGTCAGACATCAGTATTTTCATGTTGAATAAATATCTACTTTTTGAAAGATAGTTTGTTATTCATTATTATGTCTGCTAGCATTAAGTAGCTCATGCTTCCAAGCTACAAAGTTCAAAGGCTTTTTCATGACTCATAGAATACCCATTGTATCAATCAAAATTTTTCATTATCTCCAGTTACTTTTATAACTAACCCGAAGGGGTCTATGCCCCCAAAAAATGCATTAGGATGTTCTCCTCTGGTTCCTGAGCATGTGTGCCAAATTTGGTTCCTATAGCTTGAGAGTAGGGGTATAAACACTTTCAAACACAGCACCTCCCAGAATCCAAAAGGGAGCCAGGAACACAAAACCTGATGTGAGATTCAGGTTCAGCAACATTGAAAACTTACTCTTAGGCCCTCATCATGTCTAGATGACCTCCTAGGCTTGTTTTAGCCCATCTTTGTAAGAAGGCTATGCCATATAGATAAGGGCACCACCACTTCATGCCACTCGAAGTCTTCCTGCCAAGTTTGAAAATGCTATTTCCAGAAATCTGGGATGAGTTAGCTGGACAGAGATACATGCACATAAAGCAATGAGCTGCATTACTACAGGATGATGAACCACATTCGAACTCTAAATTTTCCAGTATTTTATTATTGTATTTATTGTTTTTTAATGTGGGAAAGAAAAAGGGTATTTACGTTATTAAACATGTGATTACTAGCTTTCACAAATTTATGTACTTCAGTTATCTTCTATTTGGATTAAATATTTTCCCTTGTAAATAAAAGCAAAAGATAGTTTGTCAAATTGTTTTCTTTAAAGAACTTTGAGCATTTGTTTGAAAGCATTAGAGTACATGATTTCTTTCTTTTCTTCTTATTTGTTAAAATGCCACTGTAAATTTTGTTCTTTCTTGATATATATATGTATATTATTTATTTGGCATATCAATAAACAAGCTGCATCATGTTCTAGATAGATGTTTTTTGTTGTTTTTTTACACAGGGAACTACAACTTACTTTTCCAAGACCTGTAGACAAGAAGATGCAGATCTATTGAGCAAATTTTTCAAAGAAAAGGTTGAAATTTAATATCATAATAAAAAAGAAACCTGTTGAAAGATATGTTATTTTAACTTGTAGATTGATTTATTTAAATAATGTCATAGATTGTGTAAATGAAATCTATATTAAACAGGATTTTTTAATGCCATTTAACCCTTTTTTATAGCTTCATGAAATGTATTCGTTAAAAGAAAAAAATAAAACTTTTAGAAGTACTCTTATAATTAATTATAAATGCTTGAAATGTAATGCAAGGATTTATAATGAATACTTTTTCAAACAAATTAAATAAGGTTACCCAACAACATTTATAAGCATTTGATTGTGTATTTTCCATTGTACATGTTTCTTCAGGTTGAGTTAAAAAATAACTCCCAGTTTCTCAAATAATTGTATTACTTTAAAATATTATTTTCTGAAAACTGAATATGTATTGTTAGAGTTAATTCTCAGTTTTATTCCAATGTTTGAACAAGCATAAATTTGTTTATTTTTATTTTCATTGAGTATGTTAAAGCTTCTCTCACAGGTTGAAGGAATAATATAATATGAATCACAATAGTAACTTCTGAGACAATAATTCACCTTCGCACATAGTTTAGCTATCTTCCTCATGCATTTGCTTAAGAGATTTGTATGGTGCTGTCCTTGACAACTCCCTTCTAAATTCACGTGTTCTAACGTGAACTGTGCTGGTGCATGATTTGTCATGCAACAAAATTCCAATAGACGAATGACACAACCTCCATGTGCAGTAACACTCCACTTACGAACTTGCACTTGTTGTAACTTCATTCCTCTCCTCAGCATTGTGTTGAACATACATGTTAAAATTTCTTATCCGAGTTCAATTTTTTGAGATTTGTATTGTTAATGCAACTTTGATTTTTGTTTCCTTTGGATTTTGTTTCAAAAACTTTAATTTTTTATCATGAATTCTCAAATGATGGTGACTTATACTTAGTCCTAAGTGAGTGACATTGTTCACACACATGGCTCATTTCTACTATGGCTTTTGGAGACTTGTTAACTGTCAGGGACATTACATCCATTGTTCAACCTCTTGTGTATTACCACACACACATACTGGGCCTTCTACTCCCATCCCATTAGTGAAAATTTTTTCCTCAATTGGGAATGATCCATTGGATTACCTTTTTCACCTGATTTGTTTTGGGTAGCACCTTACAATTGGAGAAATGTCTTTAACCCTCCAATATTACTGGATTTAATTTTTAGGTATGCTTCTTTCCTTGTTTTTTTGTCTGTGTTCTTTATTATTTCTCTTTTCTTTTTCTTTCTTTGTTTTACTCCATGTTCCACTATTCTTATAGTTTCCCTTGTCTTTCCTCCTTACTTGTTATTATTACTTTCCTTTCTCTAATAACTTTTCTCCCATGCCATTGCATTCATGACTTTTTTTTGTCTTTCCTTGTGTACTTTCTTCCCTTCCTTTTCTTTTGTTCCCATCCTTTGTATCTATTTGGTCAATTTACCTTACCTTCTATTTCGCTTTTTGATTCCCCATTTTCACATTTTTGTCTTTCTCTCATTACCCTCCTGTGTTCCCTCTTCTACTTCTACCTGCAACACTTCATCTTGCTTCTGATGGGTTTTCTGTAAATATTCATTCCCCTACTCTCTGCCAGCTTAGCCTGTTCCTCTTCTGTTCTATCCCTTCTTACTTTGTTTCCCTGCTGTTGGGACTCTTTGGGTAGATTTATGTTCCTCTTTACTGTACTCCTTCCTCCTCCTTAAGTACATGGTATTTGTTGGGCTCCCTTTACATCACCTGGATATCTTATTTGATGTTCATTTCTCTTTAGTGACCTGGACAGATGTTATACAGTTTTTGTCCTCATTATTTTAACAGGTTTTTCTTTTTCCTACTTCTTGCCCTTGCCCTTTACTCCTGTTCCTTGTCTAGATCATTCTACCCATAAAATGGGAATTCCAGATTCCATGCCTTTCTATTTTTCTCATCCTCCCTCTACAAGAAGTATACTTTTTTCATGTTTCTTTTCAGTGACTATTAGGCATGTATGACTGTGTGAGTACCCATCTGCTGTTAGTCTCATTTTCTACCAACAGTTGTTTTTCATTTCTCCATCTTAGTCTCTCTCCTCACTTGTTTTTCCATTTCCTTTTCTCCTTCCTTCAAACCTGTCTATGGTCTTTTTCACCCATTCTGTGGTTGGCCATGGTCAATGTGTCAGACACTTCCATACACGTCAATCTTGACCTGTCCTCCATAGGTATTCTACATTCCATCCATCATTTTTGTGTTTTCCCATTCCTTGATCTTCCCTTCAACTTCAGCTCCTTTTGGATTCATTGGTATTGTGAGGGCCTTCATTGGGCATTTTCATTCATCATGTTTGACTTATTGCAGGTCATTTGCTGGGAGCTTAGAACTTAGTGGTGGGCCTCTTCTCTCAGCCAGTCTGCATTTTACCATTGGAGTGGTCTCTACACCCCCAGGTCTTTCATAGGATGCCTTTGACACCCTTCTGTACTTCTCTTCTTATTTGGTCCACTGTTTTTCTTCCTTCGACTCTGGCTGTTAATTTTCACTTGGCCTGGTTTCACCCCTTTCCATATGCTTATTCCCCTATTCGTCTCCTCCTTTAGGGCCTCACCTTGATACAAATCAGTCCTTGCCAGATTGTATGGCTGGTGCCACTTGGGCCTGCTCAGCTTTAGTTTCCTCTCTGTTTCTTTGCATATCATTCATCCTCCTCCATCCTCTATCCAGTTTACCCTCTCTCTTGCATCACCCTCACACATCCTTTTTTCATAGTGGAGTACTTTCTTTCCATCTTCACGTGTGGGTTTTTCTGATCAGTTGCCCATCGGGCTGGACTCTCCTGTTGTGTAGCATTCTTCTTGTTACATTTCTGCAACCTTTCCTATGTGTTTGTTTATCAACAAAAGTAGTGGGTCTTTCATCTTGGGTCCATCCACCACTTCTTTATTTGGCCATCTTACTTTGAACCACTTTTCTACCTTTTACTTGGCTGTTAATCCATGGTTTTTCATTTTTTGCCTTTGCTGGTTAACAGGCAGCTTTGTTCATAGTATTTTACCTTTCCCAGTTGCCATAATGTGTTTCTTCCCCTATATTCTTCATGCTGATACACTCCTTCATTTCATTCTTTTCTGACCTACTTGCGCAACTCCCATACCTGACTGAGAACATAGTGGGGATTTGCATGCTTTCACACATGGCCCGTTCAGACTGTTGGCTTCTTGCTTTTGCACCGTCTTTCTCCAGACTTATTGCTTCATTATTCTTGCCTGTGATTATCATCATTCTATTGTCTATGCCATGGATGCTGCTCACACCATCTTCCATTGCACTTATATACTTCTCTCCCCATTCTGATCTTTCCTTCCTAAGACTTCAACCTTTCATGAAGATAACCATACTTTTTCTATTGTGTCCCTTCCTTCTGGCTGTTATCTGTATGGTCGTTTGGACCCAGGTCAACTCTTGTGTCTTGTTTGATGTTCCTCATCACAGACCTCTCCTGTTTGGATCCTTGGCATTGTCTGTCCCTATCTATGGACCCCACATCTTCCAGGAATCATTCTCCTTCTACCCTTGCTAGATGGGTCTATTGACTCCTACATTGATATTTTTGTCTCTGGATGCTGATGCTTGCAAGCTATTTCACATTTCTCTGCATTTGATTCATCACCTTTCTCATTCTCTTGCATCTCATCTTAACTGGTTCTGGGATGAGATCCTCCAGGCAGGCATGTGGACAACTCTCCACACATTCGTCTCTCCTTTTCTACACCATCTGGCTGTTTTATTTCCTGCCAGATTTTGGCTTTTGTCTATTGCCATTCTTCAATCATCCACTATCTTTGCGAAGAGTATGTACAATTTCTTTTTTCATTTCATATGATCCCATCAGGTAACTAGTGTTGTTTCCCATGGTATACTTACCCAAAACCTGTATCAAGCCAGGATAACCAACTGCAAGATGGGGTGTTCCTCAAGACCATGTGTAGTACACTCATGATATATTAGGTCATCAAAAAATTAATGTAATGTTTTGGAAGACTTACATCAACCATCCTCTAAAAAACATATAATAGTTAAACGAACCACCTAAACATCACGTTAGTGTAGCCTATATAATGTGTAATGTTTAGTATACTCTAATCCCTTAAAGTGATGGCACGTGACAAGATACACATTTGGCATGCAATGCTGTTTGAATACAAGAAGGGAAACAACGCCTCTGTAGCCACAAAGAATATCGAAGAAGTTTATGTAAGTGTTTTGAACATTCGTAAGTGTCAATGATGCTTCAGCAAATTTCGTTCAGGCGACTTTAGCCTTGAAAACTGTGATGGCAGGGGCCGATATGTTGGAATTGATGTTGTTGCTCTGAAAATGCTTGTTGAGTCTAACCTAAGGCAACACACTCGTAAAATGGCCCTGAAATTGCATGTCTCTCATGAAACAATACATAGACATCTAAGGAATATGGGAAAATTCCTTAAAGAAGATGTTTGGGTGCCTCACGAACTCTCCGATGATCATTGTTTCCCAATTGTGAATGTTGTTTCATCTCTTCTGGTGCGTAATGTGCGTGAACCGTTTTTGGACAGAATTGTCACTGATGATTAAGAATGGATTCTCTATGCGAATATTAAATGCCAAAAACAATGGTTCAGTCCTTGACAAAAACCACTTACGACCCCCAAAACCTGGACTCCATCCACAGAAACTGTGCTTTGCATTTGGTTGGACATCAAAGAAGAAATTCATTTCGAACTCCTCAGTCCACAGCGAGCTGTCAATACAGAGATCTATAGTCAGCAACTGGAATGTTTAAATCAAGCCCTTCATCAGGTGTTCTTTTTCTCCACGACAATGCACGTCCACATGTGGCACGTTTGACGCAACACAAGATTATGGAGTTGGGTTCGGATGTTCTCCCCCACTCATCATATTCTCCAGATATGGCACCATCATATTACCATCTTTTTTCTTTTGCTGCTACACCATCTTGATGGGAAAAATGTAAATATGGAAGGTGTTAAAGAGGAACATCGATATGTTTTGCTTCAAAGCCAAGTGATTTCTTTAATCAGAGCATTAACAACCTGATTGTA